ATCAATGAGAACCAGCACAGATTACACGTTTTTATCTTCCTAATGTTTGTTAAGTATGTAAGCAGTTGAAAAACATGAACCGAGGTTTTTGCTTTGTTTCAGATAAAAGAAAGCCAGACAATGAGATAAATAGCAACATATATATGCTGAGATCTTAAACTAGAATGAAAATACTATTAATGTTACTGAGAATCAAAAGAATAAGCATTTACGCTGGTGTTATCAAGTTCAATAAAGTTTTGTTATGAAAATAAAAATAAAACTGCATCTCGTTTTAGATAGTAGACAAAACTCACAATGAACTAAAATACTACTTGCACTTGATTCATTCTAGATCTCATGAAAAATAAGCAAATTTAAAACATGAGCACGATTCATTTTCCATTTTTTAGAAAACCATAGCTTCGGTGAAAAAATGGTCAGAGGAATAAGCTGTAGTTGCTCGAATAAAAATATGAACCAGGACAAATTCACATGTATATTTTTCATATCACTCTTTTATAAAATAGTGGAAAAAGGCATACGTTCATGTTCTGAATAAAACGATAGAAAAAACTAGAAATAAAGATATTAGAACGTACGTATACTGAGCTATGCTGCGTAAAAAATAATTTAAGTCGCTTTTACGATTGAATTAAAAGAAATCGAATGCTTATGATATAATTGTTATGCAATTAAACAATTTAACACATGTATGTTTTCAACAGTATGTATGTGCATATCAATTAGAATACTTACCAACCATTTCAATTTTTTCGATAATGTGCTATACTCATAACTTAGGCATTAATGAAAAAGATTTCATAAGCAGTAAGAAACAGAGTTTTCTTCATTAATAGTAATGGATGATGCTATTTCGAGTTTCAGATAAGATAATTTCAAAGTTTTTGCCCCTGTAGATTTCGATTTCTAACTTGCTCGTATATTTTTTGCCCAATGTGAAACTACTTCGTCATTTAATAGCCATTGAACGAATGGAGCAACATTTGCTAGACATTGAAGAATAGCGTTTATATAACAAATATTCAAACATTTTTTTGTTGCATTTGTATTATTGAGTCCCACATCATGAATATGTGTAATGACCATTCCATTTTCAGTTCAGATGATGTTAATGGAACAGTATCGTGAAAAATTTTCTTTAAACGTTTTACTGTCTCGATGTTGCAGCAATCTGGATATAGATTAAAGATGGAAAAAGGAGTAATGTATATGAAAGAAAACTCATCATTTATCTCACCAATAGCATCAGATGCATAATGTTTGTTTAAAGGTGATGAATAAATGATAGTGGATGTTGATGAAGTATTTTTTTTCTAAAATTTTATATATAATAAATCTAAATCTTATATATAAGTCTTACTTTTATTAAATAAAACATTTTCTTCAGTAAAATTAGAAGATGCAATATGATCATCAATAAGTATAGTAATTTCTATTGAGTATTATATGAAAACTCACGATATTTATAATACCGAAATCGGTTGTGATTAAACGTGTAGTAGTTGTTTGGTTTTCAATTGATGGAAGTGGTGATCGAGTGAAGATTCTTTTTGTTGGGTGAGCCTGCAAAAACAATAACAATATCATCTAAATTCGAATTATATCACACTGACTACATTGGTGGCGAAATCATGACTTCTTTTGTGTTTTTTGGTTTACTATCACTTGATGCGGTAATATTACGTAGGAAAACAATTGCTACTTGCTTTAGATCTTCACTATTTTGAATATCACGCACAAGCACAAATGGAATACTATGTGCAACTGCCACCAATGCAAGATCAACACCTTCTTCGATTTTCTTCATACAATATTTAAGTAAACGTTCAAGTTTCACCAATGACATTGTACCAAATCTTTTTTTCATATCTATTTGATCGCCATACAAATCTTTTCTAATTTGATCCACATTCATGCAACGCATGTGTGCAATTAAACTTATTGATATTGACTCACCAAACTTCTCCCATGTATCCAATACTGCTGCTGCTCTATTTTGAACTTGCTGGTAATAAGGAGGTAAATGGCCATTGTGCTAAGCACCATTCACCCTACGAACATTAACCGACCTCATTGTGACTTTTATAAAAGTTCGTCTAAATTTTATAAAATAAATTATTGTTGAAAATGAAAAAGAGAGGGTGTGGGTGAGTGTGGGTGCGGGTGTGGTGTGGGTGTGAGTGTGACTGTGGTTGTGGGTGTGAGCGTGAAACTTCTTTAGTCTCATCCACACCCACACCCACACCCAAATGGGAAATTAATAAAATTCATTTCAAATGAGCATGTGTCTCTTTTTGTCAGTGTTTTTAAATATGAATATGAAAAAGATTATCAGTTGCTACTCTGTTTACGGCAACCAGAGAAAAGCTGATCCTTAAGTACGCATATGCGACGACTTGTATGAACGTCAGCAACTGTGTATAATCTTTTTTGTATGCTCAACTATAGATGACCTGAAATAACGTACTAAAAAGCGTGACTTGCTTTTTACAAATTAGGAATCTACCAAATATTTTCATGTTTGCATGATTGTTATTTACTCAATAAGACTAGTAGAGGCAGAAAAGAACACTCACGTTTATATGCTGACTAAATTACGCTTGTTGAGAGTCACACAAGATCTTGGATTATTCATGGTAAAGTTGGAATTAGAGTTACTCTCATTGCGCCGTCACTTTATATCACATTTAACATATATGTATGAAAACAGGAAAACATTAATGTGTCCTAGTGGATATATGTATTTTGATAAGACCGACAAAAAATACACCTAGAACAACCCAATTCAGTTCCATAACTTTGTAGCCATGTATCCATTTACTGTCTATGAACTGATAATTTCCTTTCAGTAGAGGCTCAGCGGCGCTTACGTCGCGTTACTTGTTTATTTTTATTAAAATTATACTTCATGTTTATTTTAGGAACTGTGGTTATTAAACATAAATAAAACTGCCATCTGCTGAATTTAAAACAAAAGACTCAATTTCTTTTTGTATTTGTTCATGTTTTTTTCCATTGTGCTTCATTAATAAAGAAGTATATGATGAAAAATACAGGCATATTCTTGAACAATCATCTGTCAAGATATTCGATCGAAATTCGAAAAATTAACGTCAATATATTATTTATTCTCTTCTCGATATGATTAAAGACGATATTGATCTTTCAGAACGAATTGAATATGATAATAAATGCAAATTATGTAGGATGTAATCAACGAAATTCGGATAAAGAAATAGGTTGCAAACCACCCCCACACACCCTCCGTTCTCATTCCTGTTCACTGTTTTTTCTCATTTGAATATTTTACAGTAGAAACCAAACAAATATATAAAATAGTATTGTCTTATCTTCCTTTGATACAACGAAAAAAGAAGCAAGTATCTCTTCACAAACTGTAAAATATCAAGAAATTTATGATTTATTTAGAATAAAAATTATAAGTAAGAAACAATAAACAAAAAAACAAATAGATATTTGATGATTTATAAAGTTCTAACATTTGATTCAAAACATCAAGAGAAATTAAATAATGGATGCAACATTTAATAATTGTTCGATCAGTATTACACTTTTGATCAATAAAGTTTTTCAGAATTGATTCCGATTCAATCATTTTATGAAACGAATAAATTTCTTCAAATCGATCAATTGATATACATTATCAAAACATTTTTTATGCATAAAAACAGAAAATACATATCGATCTGTGCTTGATGAGCAGAAATTCTTCAATCAGAAAGGATTATTGAAGTTATTTTCGATGTTCTTCAAGTTCTTATTTACGATAAATAAACGATAAAGAAGTTTACTCATTTGATAGAGAAAAAGAAGAATATTGCATCTGAAATAATCAGAAAGAATTCTTCTCACTCAATTGAATTCAGATAAACAATAGTTTTCGACGCAATTATATTCTAAATGATTGAGTATCTCTTATAATTTGAGGTTGATCCTCTCGTTAGTCACCTCGGACTCGAATAAACAAGAAACGAACATTCATCTCGGCTTTGATTTTTTCTAGTTATCAAGAAAAAATCTTTAAATTCAATCTAAAGAAGTTTGGACTGTGAAATACAATAGAATCATTTTATTCATAATGGTGAGACTCTTCTATGTATCTTTTGACCATGAGAGAAACGTCGAAATGTCTGTCACTAAACTGTAGGAAAGAGTGAAGGAGATTCATTTTTCTTCATATTTACTTTTACACTCATTTCAAATCGTGTTTCACAATATTGAAGACGTGTGATATAGTATAGAGCTGAATAATCACGAACGACTTATCCGGCTGGCGACCAATCAACATAATTGAACTTAAGCACTCGAAGTCTCGAATACATAACAGTTCATCCTACTCCTGTAAGTTTTCGATAGAAGTTTTCATACATTTTTCAATTATTATGAGAATATTCGGTAGTTGACAGTCAAAATTGGATCTTGCCTGTGCAAAAATTACTTACTTCTTATCGTATTTCGAACACAATCATCTCGGGCAAGAATCGGAAACATTTTAATATAAAAACAATATCAATAGCTTGAAGTGAAAATGAAAATGAATACGAGACTAGAAAAAAAATGTCTCCCAGACTGAATGCTACAGTACCGGTTTAAGATGGTACCAACATGAGTTTTTTTTATAAAATGAAAGACTCTTAAGAACGAGAATTAGAAGTATGATTCATAATTTTTCTGGCGACTATAAGCAATATTATTTGGAAAGGCTCGAATATTTTACACATAAAATGAATAGTAAAACGATATTCTAGGAGATGCAGCGTTGAAACAAAATGATGCAAGATAGTGAATATAGCAAGTCACTTTCTATCTTTCTGATGGCTTCATAGGTACAATTAATAAGGAGCACGACTACCATTGACTTTTTTGCACAGCATGTAGTCGTGACATCTGATTAAAGAAGAGTTTCGAAAAGGTTAATATCTATTTCCATGTCATTCAAAAAATTGCCTGTGGTGTGTAGGTGTGAATTATTCTCCTTCAATCGCCAATACCCACACCTACACTCACACCAAGATAATCTTTAATATTTATAAAGAAATAGGTAAAAAACTGTTTTTAAATTTCTTATAGGGCCGTAGCTCGTGCAACTTCATGATAGATAAAACATTGATTTTGACCAGGTTTACGCTCAAAACGAGCAAAACCATTTTCACCCCAGCCTTTTCCCCATGAATTTTTAACACTCCAAAAAGGAACGCCGGTTTGTGGATCCGTACCCCAACCGGTTAAAAGGACTGCATGATTGACATGTGGTGGACAAGGTCCTCGATAGACGCCACCTCCATAACTGCCCATGAAATCAGCATTGATTGCAATAGCGACTGGGCTTTTTGATACGAGACGTATTAGGAAATCATCGTTGAGTGTATCCCATGCATCGTGATAACTCTCCTTGCTTGCAAATCGATGAGCGGCACGTGAACGTTGATCTTGACGTTGAGCACAAGCTTGAGGATTGAAATTTGTATCATGAAGAGCTTGATATGGATAGTCAGCTTCAGAAGCAAGTGGATTTTTTCCATTTGGAATTACATAATCCAATGAATCACCAAAATTTGATGCCCAACATCCACCTCTATTCGGCATTGAACAATCGATCAGTTGCTGTTCAGATAGAGGAGTAGCATCATGGTTATGTTTTATAGCATAAGCAGCTTCTAAGGCTCCTATTACTCTACAAGAGAAAATAATCACGTATCGTATATTGGAAGAAAATAGATGTTAAAAGACCTTACGCAAAGAACGTGCAACTACCACATGATCCTTGATTTTTAACATCTGTTACCGCTCGATAAGTCATTGACGTCCAATCAAAATTCTTTGGATAATCAT